CATTCCTCCATGGCCTGTGTTCCAGCTCCTGCCTCCAGGTTCCTGCCCTGAATTCCTACCTTGGGCTCCCTGATGAACTGTGACCTGGGAGATGTAAGACAAATAAACCTTTTCCTCCCCAAGTTGGTATTAGAGTATTTTGTCACAGCAATAAAGAACAAACTAGGACAATCACTGTCAGGAACATGCACAAAATACTTGGTGGATTCCAAGAAGAAAATGAAAGGAATATTGTAGGGTTAGGCAAAAAAAGCTAATCCTCCAGCCCAAGAGGCCAGATGGAGATGGAATAGTTTGATGGCAATCAATACACACTAAAATTGGCAAGAAAGGCAGAAAGAGTGATCATATGGTGAACTGAGTGCAAACTGGGGACAAATTGGTGCCACGTGAGTCCGAAGCCATGCCTCCACTAGAGGCTAGTGACAAGACCTGATGACCAGAAAACTGTGTGGTTGAGATGGACAGAGCAGAGAGAGAGCATGAGAAAACAACTCTTTAAAAGCGTGCTTTAAAGCAGTAAGGCCAGCCTACTCAGGGACACCAGGTTGGAGGCGCTGCCCTCTCTCTCATAACCACCATCAACAGTACTCTGTGTCCCTCTCTCCCTCTTCTCCAACAGTGCAGTGTGGGGAAGCTCCTTGAGGGTGGAGAAGACTGTACCCCTGGCTCTTCCTCCCCGCTGGCCTCAGGCTCAAATGCTGGCAGGAAAAGGTCTCCCGTGTCTCAAAGGGTGTGCCTCCATTCAGCTTGTGGCTTATTCCCCGGAGCAGTGATACTTCGGTGTGGTTTGCTGATGCGGGTGTTCAGGGGCCTTCTGTGCCTTGTGTTTCACTTTTGCTTTCTCAGCTGATGTTTCGCTTATGGGAAACTGCTTTAAAAAGCGTAGGGCCTTAAGCTCCTCAGACTTCCTGTGGCACTCTAGAAGGTTGCGGTAGCGCTCGTAGAGTTGCTGCGCCTCAGCATGAGGGCTCTCCTTACCGAAGGCAATCCGATAACATTTCTCTACTTCTAGAAACTCAGTAAGATCCGAGTATGAGTTCAGAGGGCTTGGCTTCCTCTCCAGAGCTTTGTTCATAGAGTCCAGAGTCAGTTTCCTCAGTTCAATCCTGTCTTTGCTTTCGCTGGCTTCAGCTTGTGTGTTGTGAGTTTGCTCCACTTTTGTCCTGTAGCAGCTCAGGAGATGGTAGTAGACGTGGCTATTGTTTGCTGTGGACCCCAGTGCCCTCAGAAAGAGCTCGATAGCTCTGTCCAGGTTGCCCTTCTTTTTGTAAAACTGTGCTGCATTTCGAAGGATGTCCGTTTGGCCCGGCGCCTTCACCAAGGCATCCTCAATTAATCGTTCTCCTTCAGCTGCTTCTTTCATCTTCTGAAGTTTCAGGGCCAAGAGAACTTTGAAGTACTGGTTCTCAGAATCCAGCTCCATGGCCTGCTTCAGAGCATCGACAGGAAATTGCTTCTGGGGTTTTTCATCCAGACGGTATGTGGCAATTGCCAGGCCAGAGGAGAACTCTGGGTTGTCAGGTTTCCCTTCTAGAGCCTTCTCAAAACACATCTTAGCTCTTTCATTTCTTCCACACTTTAGACGTGTCCATCCTTCCTCACAGTCAAGTTCAGGGCACTCCATGCTGTAAGGATTTGCAAACTTCTTACAGACCTGTGTCACCTCATCAACATAAGCCTGAGCCATTGAGGGGTTTCCCATGTGATAGTAAACCCAGGCATAGTTTCCCAAGGTGACCAGACTTCTAATTTCTGCTTTCTCATCTTGCTTTGACTTCAGTAAGTCTTCAGCTTTCTTTAAGCATTCCAAGGCTGCCTCATTTTCACCCTCTAGGTGTTTTATGTAGGCCAGCAAGTTGTACATCGTAGCTTTGAACTCAGTGTTTAAAAATTCAATCTGGTTCCGTATTCTATCTTCTGTATGACTTGAGATACTTCCTTCTTTGAATAAGTTCCACGTAAAATGGCACTTCAGCTGTAGAAGGCTATCTTCCAGGGAATTCCTGGTGACTTCACTGTGGAGAAAATACACGTGGGTCAGTATGATGAGCACCTGCATCCCATGATGGTTAATTGTATATGTTAACTTGACTGAGCTCCAGGATATTTAAAAATCAACTACCTTCTTGGAGAGCACCTGCATCCCATGATGGTTAATTGTATATATTAACTTGACTGAGCTCCAGGATATTTAAAAATCAACTACCTTCTTGGAGATGTTGGACTCAAACTATACAGTGTGAGCCATAGGCTCTAGGATAAGTTTACATTTTTGGTAATAATTTCTGATTGCTGATTTCTCAGCTCCAAAGCACCTATTCAATACTCAAACATTGTTTATGTCCACATCCTTCCCACCCTTCCGTCTACCATTCCTTTCTAGTTTTCTCTGCTCACATTTACACACATACAATGCAGGGGGCATTTTATATATTTAAAGAAGGAGAAGTTTGAGGTGAACGTCTACATCTGTATGTCAGCAGCTCTCCCATGTTAGTGTGTATGTAAAGAGTCTGTGGTCTTTTCCAAACATTTTTTCCCCATATGAACCTTATATCTACTCATACAGGATTTTAGAATTCCCATTAATTTGCATTTTAATAGTATACAAGTTGATTATTATGCAGGGCATAAGCATAGCATAATTTGAAAGACTGTAAACACCTTTCCCTGTTCTTAGCTTACATGGTGGATGGTGTCTAACAGATCAGTAAGATGGCCCAGATAGCATGTTTCCCAATTCTGACAAGACAAATTTCAAGTTCACAGTGACCTAATCATGATCTAGAGTTTTGTAGTCTGAGTAATCATTAACATGGTTGCTGGGGAGTAGGTATGATAATAGAACCACAAAACAAAAGTCTACAAATTCTGCTTTAGTCTTTAAATATAGGAAACTAAAATGGACCAGGACCTCAGGAACTTCCTTTCAGTCCCCGTTTTCATAAGCCAGATTGTGCTGAAGAGGCTTGAGCGCCCACTTCTTCAAGCTCTTGGTGAGCCCTGTCCTTGCCTGCCTTCAGCTCCCACTTGCCCATGTCCTTACTCTGCCTGACTATAAAGCAGAAAGAGACTTCGGTGGTTAATAATCTCCACTGTCAACCTATGGGCTTTAGAAACACCATGGAAACACAGCTCTGGGTGTGTCTATGAAGATGTATACAGAAAGTTTTAACTGAGCAGGGCAAACCCACCCTAACTATCGGTGGCATCATCCCATGGGCCCAGGCTAACTAAAAACGAGAAAGCAAGCTGGGTAGAAGCATTCACCTCTCTCTGCTTCTCCACTGTGGATGGATTGTGACTAGCTCATGCTTTGCCACCAAGACTGTACCCTTGAACTGAGCTAAAATAAGCCTCCTTTTCTTAAGTTGCTTTTGCCAGGTAATAAGACGATTGCTTTGTTACAGTAATAAGAAAAGTAACTAATACAGAGACATAGACATAATGCACAAATTGGTAAGGCAGGGTTGTGAGTTAGACAAATGCATATTCAATTTCAAACAGACACTGAAAGACCACAACTGAAGAAGCTATGCATGAAGTTTCCAGTGAGACTCTGCAGGAGGCAAATACCCAGAAGGTTCTAGGAGTTTTCCAAGGTAATTTCTTCCTTTAGTAATTTTTTAAAAAATATTTTATTATTATTTTTATTTTATGAGTATGAGTGTATTGCCTGCGTGTATGTGAGTGCACCTTGTTG